CCAGAAAACGGAGAGAACCACAAGAAGGACCAACATATTTTTTCACCTTGTTTCCATTAGCTTGGGAGTTTCTCAACTTTTCCAGCTTACAAGTGCTTTGCCATCCTTGATCTTCTAGCGTTCAATTTGTCATGTGAAAAGGTTCAACTTACTTGCAACACTATGCAGGAGAATGGATGCTACCCAGAAAACGGAGAGAACCACAAGAAGGACCAACATATTTTTTCACCTTGTTTCCATTAGCTTGGGAGTTTCTCAACTTTTCCAGCTTAGAAGTCCTTTGCCGTCTTGATCTTCTATATCCTTTTACTTGGTAGTGTTTCGATGTGGCCCCACACTGATCTTACCGAAGGACTTTGGTGTCACCGACGATGAGTTGAAGTACAACCCATGCTCAAAGGACCATCATCTAGCTCATGAACTTGCAAAGTGGGAGAGGGATGCTTGGTATGGCGCCCCAACGTCAGCCTATGCGCCAGCCTATGCACCTCAGCCTGATACCACACCTTGTCGTTTGGTGGAACGGTTCCCAGAGTTGGACGCAACACCACCTCCAATCCCAAACCCCATGAAGAAATCGCAGCTGGCAGGTGCAAAGCGCCTGGAGAAGGAAATGAAAATGGCTGAGGCTGCCAACAAAACAAAACATGGAAAGAAACCAGGGAAGGCAAAGAAAGAAAACAAGAAGGATAAGAAAGGAGCCAACAAAGGCCAGAAAAACCAGGACAAAGAGAAAAAACCCAGGAAACCGAACGATGGTCCGCTCACAGGGGCCATGAAGGAGTACATCCAACGTCGTCGGGCTGATGGGTTGTCATACCGGGATGCCTTGAAAGAGTGGGGCGAGTCATGTGAACGCGCAGAGATCGTGAACAAGATGTCATACAGTGAGCAAAAACGACGTAGGTACAATTAGATAACATGCATGTTATCTAAAGACATGGATGTGTCTGGGGGCCTGGGGCTCGTGTTAACATCAACATTAGCTCATATTGTTTTCATGGTCTGTTTAAAGCTGTTGGTTTTTGTTGGGTTGACTTGGAACTATATGTGACCCAGATGGCCTTGCAAGCCCCCAGGGTTTGAGTTGGCACCTTTTCGAACATGCCCAGTGCAGCTAGCAGTGCTGTACTTGCGCGCCTCAATGGAGGTATGGTAGGATTTAGGGGATGAGAATGTTGTTGGGCAAGGTGTGATTTGATAGTTCCTAGGCTGATAGCTTGTCTGTTTCTCTTGTTCCTTTTCCATGTAAAGTCTATGTGGTTGACTTTGCCCACCAAATTCTCTGTAGGATCCACGCTCAGGGTTTGGCTTTGGCATAGCACAGGCCATGAGGTCTTGTGAGGCCAATGTTGTTGCGCAGCAACAGGGGTCGGGTAACGAAACCAAAGGAAGTGCGACAAAAATGTTTTTACCTGCTGAGACCTTACTGAGCAAATCCTAAGTTCATCAGCTTAGAGATGTTTGTTGTGTATACGTCATTCTTCCTGGCTGCAGGCCTTTGGCTTGGTGATGCAAATCTTCGATGAGTGGTGCGCCCGCCCACCTCTGCTCAGTGTTTACTCAGCCTATTCTTGCAGCGATTGTTTGCATGTTCATCCAAACTCCTTGAAATTACGAACCCAGTGCCATTTTCGCAGCACGTTTGTTGGGGGGTAGGCCGTTGCTTGGTCCTGCCATGCGCTTCGCAGAGCTTGCGACGCTTCTGGTGATCCTCCTGCGCTCCTTTGGGGAAATTTCCGAGGAGTCCAGCACACATCTGCAGGAGGATTGTGCTGGAGCTGGCAATATTGCCTGTGGTTCTCGTTTGTTTCATCTTGCAGCAGCTCGGAGAGATGTGGCTTGTTTGCAGGTTTTGTGGTGATGTCTCAGGAAACTTACTGGTATGCTAGTGAGAACATGTGCCCATGCTAGCAAAAATGCTCAGCCGTGTGTCATGTCACACTTGACATTTACTATAGGTGAAGTACAATCCCCTTATGGACCTCTTGACCCTCACTGGATTCCTAGCAGCGCTGCAGGGGGTGCCTTGGGATACAAAAACTTGGAATGTGGGGGATTGGGCAGTTCGAAGCATGTCGATGTGGTGGGCATTCAAAGTTTCAACAATTTGAGTTAGTAACAATGTGCATGAATTAAGTTTCATGTGTGCAGGTCCGTAGTCTCCGACAGGGATGCTTATGGTGGGTAGCACCACCGTGTTCGACATGGGTCTTCTTGGCCCGTGGAAGTACTGGTCGAACCTTTACAAGGGCACGAGGCGTGCATCAGCCTCATGAGTGTACTGCCTTGGAGGTTTTAATCACTGTTATATATATATACACGGTGTTCTTAAAGTTGTACATGTAGATGTACACTGTATGAGTTTCAAACACACACACACCCATACATATATATATACTATGTGTGATGTAGATACATATTATTCTATAAAGTACTGAGTTGAATCAAGCGATTCTATGTAAAGAAATTTGGATTCAATTATGCATTGATATGTTTATTCGTTGCTTTTGTGTAGATATATACGTATATATATATATATACATGTAAATATATATATATATATACATACGTAAATATCTAATAACAATAGCCCAAATTTCTAATTTTCCTGCTGGTTTGGCACCCCGAAATCTGACCCCCACAACTCTACCCTCAGTAACCTTTTTCCTACAGGTTTGCTACATGTTTAGTTGGTTGTGGGGGTCAGATTTTGGGGTGCCAAACTAATAGGTAAATTGTTAGCCCAAATCGACTTTGTCAAAAAAACATCTGATTGCTGGCATTTATGTTAAGTATTCAGCAGCATTTCTCGATTTGTTGGGTTGCTGGTATTCACTGGTTACTTTCCGTCTGTCGCCAGGATCAAAGCGACACCGAAATGTTCGACGAGCCAATAGGATGATTCGTCGCATCATTTACTTGCCACTTGCCTGAATTTCACCTGAAACCTGGATGACTTACATATATAAACCAACGATGTGCGCCAGAAAGGTGTTTTTCTTTGGAAGTTCCTGCCCAAATTTGAGGTGTGAATATTGCCACAAGAAAGGGATCCACTATTGCATTGAGAATCCTATGACGACCCTTTTATGGACATACCGTCCGATGGAGGCATGTTGCATAAATAAAGGGTATCAAACACTCAGTGATTTCTCACACCAGTGGACTCTCAGACTTGCAGCTGTGTTGCTGTGCAGGCAATGCTCAAGCGGCACAAGTGCAAATCGATCAGTGTCCCACTGGGTGCCTACGGGGCATTGAGCGAGATGCTCTTTTGCAACAAGGTTTCAAAACTTTGACCCATGCTGACACCTTACCACAAAAACAAAAGCAATTTATTGCCAATGTGGAAACAATGTCCTTATTTCCCTTTCAAACAAGACCCCAGCATTTTCAAAATATAATCGGAAATAGGATCCTTATTTCCGTTTCATTCCAAAAAAAGAAAGGTGCTTGCTTTGACTTCTGTAAATGCCATTCCTCTGTTGTAAAAACAGGTTGAAAGTTGGAGATTTCATGATACTTTTCTTGATTTGGGCAGCTATGCATTGGCTTGATTCAGGAAGAGAGTCACCTTGTACACCACAGCTCCTTACCTATCTGGATTGGGAACATCGATCGATCCATGCCAAAGGCCATAATCAGATTATCAAAAACATGTCTGAAAGACTTGCAGTATATGTTTTCATGATCTTTACTGCCCGGTATAGTTTTGACCTGGTGGCCAGGGAACGCTTGGCTCGCCTAAAGTCTACCTTGAACCTGAAGTTGGTTCGTCGCTACCGAGACAAAAAAGGCCAGAAAAGGATCCAAGGTGGCCCACATCTTACTCAGTCTGGCATCTACCCCATCAACTTGGGACTGAAGGCTTGGAAGCGATTGTTCTTGGAATTGAATTCACCTTGTTTTCCCCAGATTTGAAATCAGTCTTCGATTGATTGGCCTTCTAGGTGGGATCCCTGCTCAGTGCCTACGTGTTACTTGTCTTACATTGGGATCGTGGCCCATATACTTTTTCCTCGACGTCAGCTTGAAGTTTTGTTTGAGAGTTCAATTTCAACAGACACCATCTAAGGCAGGAAAACCGGCCAACTGTTTCCCCGGATGCCAACCTGAAGTTCGAAAACATAGGGGACGATTCCTCAGACAGTGGAGTGGAACATCTGTTGGATTAATCCACATGGGATTTTTGGTGCCGTCAAAAGCATGGGCACCATGAGCTGTGTATGCAGCACCTGGGGTCAAAAAAGTCCATTGACTTGCCTTCAGATCTTCAGGGCAGCCTTTCAAGCCTTGACATTGCCTGTGATAAATACGCATCGGGTCACTTGTTGAATGTGCTGCGTTCACTCTGTGACAGCTTGTTGATTCACACATGAGATTGGCACGACTATGTATTGATCACTAACTGCTATTTGCAATTCATCTCAAGACTAGATTCGCCTTGACGTTTCTGCACCTTGGCTACCATTACCTGGTCTAAATTCTGTGGAGTTCGTGAATTTCATGAATTTCACGAATTTTCACGATTCTTGCGTGCCAGCCACCATTGATTCGTGAAATTCACTTTGATACATTTGACTTTGATGAAAAATCCATCAGCAAAGACGTGAATTTCATGAATTTCACGAATTTTCACGATTCTTGCGTGCCAGCCACCATTGATTCGTGAAATTCACTTTGATACATTTGACTTTGATGAAAATCCATCAACAAAAACGTGAATTTCATGAATTTAACACCGCCGGAAGGATATCCTAAGTGAAATTCACGGTTTTGTCAAAAAAATGGAAACGTGAAATTTCGTGAAGATGGCCACATGGATCGACTATACCAGTAGCTGAACGTGAAATTTCGTGAAATTCACTAATCCAAAATTGAGGCGTCCTGGCCCGGCTGACAATGCCGCCAAGGCGCATTTGATCGGCCACCAATGCTTTCCAGCCATCCAGATCGTAGTTTCCAGTGATTAACTCTTCTTTCTTTGCTGCCTGCAGGGCTGAAAAGGAGGATGAAGACACCTTTGTCACACCTGACAGGCCTACAATGAGATGCCCGTCTAAAACCCCTGAGTCGAAAGCTTACAGCGAGGTAGGGCAGAACCCGAAGGGTAAAGGAAAGGGGCAAAGGGCCTTGATGGCACTTATGGCCTTGAAAGGGGCCTTAGCAAAGAGTAAAGGCCGTGGCCGTAGTGTTTCTCAGAAGGTCCCTGACGACAAAGACAAACAAGATGTAGCACCAGCCCCCAGAAAGAAGAAAGAGAAAAAGGAAGAGGAGAGCACGACAGAGACAGGCGATGCTTCAAAGGCGGCCAAGAAGGCCAAAAGAAAGGATGAGGGAAAGCAGGAACATGAGGAGGAGACGCCAGGTGAGGTTTCAAAGGTTGCCAAGAAGGCCAAAAGAAAGGATGAACATGGGGAGGAGCCGACACGTGAGGATGAGGTAACCGAGGAACAGCCGACACGTGAGGTTTCAAAGGCAGCCAAGAAGGCCAAACGAAAGGATGAGGTAACCGAGGAACATGAGGAGGATACGCCACCTGAGGTTTCAAAGGTTGCCAAGAAGGCCAAAAGAAAGGATGAGGGAAACCAGGAACATGAGGAGGAGACGACACGTGAGGTTTCAAAGGCAGCCAAGAAGGCCAAACGAAAGGATGAGGGAAACCAGGAACATGAGGAGAAGACCACAGGTGGCGTTGCAAAGGTGGCCAAGAAGGCCAAAGGAAATGATGAGGGAAACCAGAAACATGATGAGACGACACCACCGAGCAAACGCAAGACAAAAGATTACATGGGGACAGTAGACAGCCACACTCCCCTGGAGGAACCTAGTTCCACAAAGAAGAAAAAAAAGATCAAAAGCAAGAGCTCAGAGAATTTGGTTCCTAGTGGGGGCAATGAACAGACACAGCCCACAGAAGCCACGGAGATAGCAGATGCTGATGTCTCCACTTCAGCTCGAAAGACGAAGAAACCCAAGACACCGGTGGAGAACCGTGACTGTGCCACGGCTGAAGATGCTGTTACCTACCCAGAATCACCAAGCGAAAGGAGAAAGATGAAAGCCCAAGAGCCTGACGCAGAGGCCTGCTGCACCACAAACACAATGATCCAATCAAAGCTGGAAGATTTGAAATGTGTGATCAGGACTCCAAGACAATATCCACCAGCAAGCAATGCAGACATACTTGCAGAAAAGAAGCAACTTAACATTGGCCACTTTGTAGCGAAACAGGAAGAGGAAGAGAAGCCAAAGAAAAACAAGAAGGCCACTCACTGCAGGCTTGGTTATTCAGAATTTACACCTCGTAGCTATTTTGTGATTTTTCCAAATCAATTTTGAAAAGCTAGCCTCATGGACTCATGGCGTTACGTGGATACAAACCCTGATGATGCAACATCTTATCATACATGCAGCTCGCCAAAACTTTCCATGCAGGTGATGGCAAACTGTTGCTTGGACAGCATCATAATTCCGAATCAACAGTGGATTCAACAGTTGCACGTCTTGACCCGTGACTCCTATCCCACCCCAAACAAATTCGGAGTTCCTTTGATGTTATTCATTCTTCTATCGACCAAGGATGCGATCTGATACATCCACAACTGTCCCAGCAGTTCCTTGCTCAGATTGGTCATGTGAGCTCACACTCTTTGATGAACTGTTTGATTACATAGTATATTTGGTCATCCATTAAGATTCAATGTGTTGACAGGATGGTGTGGTCAAGGGCCTTGCTGTCCGTGATGACAGGGGCCGCTTGCGCAGAGCCAGCAACTAAGTATGCAATCTGTCCCATCTCATGCCTTGGTTTGCAGCGTGTTGGGATGCTTTTGACTTGTGTTGAGGTGAAACATCTCAGTGAGGAGCAGAAAGAGTTGGTATCAGGTCTTTCAGCACCTAGCCAGCTGGATGTCCAGGAGACTTGTAGGTTTCTTTCTTGTACCACCACTGCTGTCCAATAATTATAAAGCAACATCTGAACATACAATTTTCTACTTCGAGGAACGCCGATGCTTGTATGCAGCCATGGACAGGAGGTTCAGCCAAGGAGGCTGGTATGTCATGCTTCTATTTCAGAAAGAAGCACGGTGTGTATCATACTTGAGCCTAGTTCATTGACATGGACAAGACTTGTCTCCAGATTTGCCTCCTTCCTTGATGGAGAAATATGCCGCAGCAGCGGGGAACCACAGCAAAAAGCCTTGAGCTCAATGAAATCAAATCCATCGGTTTTATCAAAGAATCAAAGAATTGAAAACCTTTACATAAAGAAGCTCTTACACAGAGAAGCCTTTACAGAGAAGCATTTGCTCAGAAGCTTTTACTCCATTCTTTTGTTTCCCTGGTCTGATAATAAGGTTCCAGTTGCTCAAAGAATTTCTGATGGCAGACGAGATGCACCCAAGCAGCATCACAGAACCCCAGCCAGAGATTGAAGATATACAGTGCAGCGTCACTGCACTTGCCACTGTCCTTAGGCGAAGCGTGCAAATTGAGGGATCAGTTGCACCGAGCTTCAGCTGAAACTTTGGGTTTCGATGTCAGAGTGAACATTGGGCTATAATGCAAAGGTTCCTCCAAAAACGGTTTTAAAATAATAAAAGGGTATAAATCTGAGGACTCCCAAAATCACGAAAAGATTTGCTGTGCTGGAAGGATATATATATATATATTGTATAAATTCATATATGTATGTATGTGAAATAAAGTAAAAATATGTGTATATATATATATGTAGATATATACATGTTTATATATATATATATATCTGTATATATATATATGTAGATGTACATGTTTATATGTATATGTACAATAAACACATGTATATATATATATATATACATATATATATATATGTAAACATATGTGTATATATTGATACATATTGTGTTCCTATCTGGATGGGCGTGCACACATTTACGGGGTTCCATGGAGGTCTCTGGGGTGAAAAAAACATCCGACAAAAAATCTTTTGTTGATTGTTTCTTTGGTGCCATTTTGGTGGCTATGTTGTGCCAATGTTAGGCAATCTGGGGTCTAAGTTGGGCCCATGTTGGGCCAGTTCAGGTTGGCGGCTTTCGGGCCTAAAATTTCAACCCCAACGGAAGCATGGTTCCGTTGAGGTTGAATTTTGGGTCGGTTTTGGGCTTATGTTGGGCCATTTGGAGGCTTTGTTGGGCCTCTGTTGGGCCATTTTAGGGCTATGTTGGGCTCTGTTGGCGGCTTTCGGGCCGAAAAAAAAAAAACCGACGGAAAATTTTTTCTGTCGTGGGTTTTTTTTGGGTCGGTTTTGGGCTTATGTTGGGCCATTTGGAGGCTTTGTTGGGCCTCTGTTGGGCCATTTTAGGGCTATGTTGGGCTCTGTTGGCGGCTTTCGGGCTTAAAATTTCGAAGTATGGTTCGGTTGAGGTTGAATTTTGGGTCGGTTTTGGGCATGTTGAGCTCGTGTTGGGTCATTTGGTGGGCTCTATGGGGTAAGGTCTCTGGAGGGAAAAAAGAACCTTCACAAAAAGTCGACCTTTTGTACAATTCGTTTTTGATCTTGCTTGAGCCACGTTGAGGGGTATGTCGGGCAAATGTTGGGCCATTTGAAGTCTTTGTTGGGCCAATGTTGGGTCATTTGATGGGCTTATTGGGGTTCTATGGAAGTCTCGGGGAAGGCTTTTTTTGGTGGGTTTTTCAAAGCTGGATCTTGAAAACCCACAAAGGGTTGGTTTTCACAAGTAGTATAACTAGTATCTTCTGGGCTTTCTGAGTCTCTGGGGGGGGATAAACAATTCCAACTGAAAACTTTTCGGTTGAGGTTCTTTTTGGGGGCCGTTTTTTGAGCTCTGGGGGGCCAATGTTGGGGCCTGTGTTTGGTCATTTGGTGGGCTATATGGAGGTCTCTGGGAGCAAAAGAATTTCCAACCAAAATTTTATTATTTTTTTTGGAACTACTTTTGGCTCAAGATGCCCATATGGGATATAGCGCAGAAGTTGCACTGTGCGTTTTATATATATATATATATATGCACATATATATATATATGCACATATATATATATATATTCATTCTGGGTGTACATATTTATATTTACATAAATATAAATAAATGTAAATATAAATATATTTATACATACATACACAGTCACATGCAACCATGCATGCACGTGTGTCAATATTTGCACACTAGAGATGGGAATAAATAATCTGCAGATATGGAACATTTAGGCCACATATGATGTGTGTAGTCTTGGCACACGTCTTCCAGACCATGAAGGCAATCAGTTTCAGGAATATGAGTTGAAAGGGGCATGCGAAACGTATTTGCGCTCTCCATCCACTTGAAAACCTTTTGCCCCAGAAACAAAAGAATTGGGATGATTTTCTTAACCCTTGAGAATCGATTCCAAACTCATGCAAGAAAAACCGAGTGAAGCAAGATGACGTCTACGTTGAGATGCCGCTGTTCGAGCTCGAGATCATGTATGGGGGCACTGAAGCGGGAAGGTGCTTCTACTTCCCACTTGATGTTTCAACATTGTGCCTTGCATGTACCATATAAGTTCGACTTGCCAGGGAATACGTCCAGGATATCCAGAAGTCCCAAAAAGGCAGACCCCACCCAGAACGCCAGGCTTGGCCCATGGCCTTTAGTTTTGATTCTGTGGACATTGTTGGACAGCTGTTGCCAGTTCCATCACAGTCTTTGGCCCTGCCAGTTTCGAAACAACCCAAAGTACCGAATTTACAAAGTGTACAAGTTGACCAAGCACAAGAGTGGGCCTGGCTTGATTGTCTCCTACTGTTTCAAAAGTGTCAACTCCCATTCTTGCGACTTGTCATGTCCTTTCCCTGTTGGATGGTACCATGAAGCTGCGACCCTCCAGCCAACAGTTAGAAACAACAGAATGTCATGAGAAACTCCATCCAAGAAACGTTTTTTGCATTCTCAAGGAGTGTATACTTGCTGAGCTGTTGGTGATAACATTCCCCTGATCCTTGATGGCTGATTTTTTGGAATCCCTTGGTTGCTTTTCAATGCAGCCAAGGCGGCCATGAGAACGTTGCAAAGACAAAGATGTCCAAGACTGCAGAAATCGAGCTGAACGCACCTGCAGCCACAGAGAGCAGCGATGCTTCCCAAGCAGCGGATTCCCCTGGGAAGCCTAGCCCAAAAAGTGAGGCCAATAAAAAAGCACTTCAAGCAATGTATGATGCCATGGCCCCCCTTTCAGGGAAGAAAGGTGGGAAGGATTCTGATGACGACAGTGATGACAAACCCAGAAGGGGACGAGGTCGTGGAAACCGAACCCAACCGACCAGGGCTACCACTACTGAGGAAAACCCAGAGGCGACTACCGAATACTTCAAGAATGTTTTCTTTCTTCTTCTACTTCATTATATCGTGCATGTTTACTCCAAACACCCCAGTGTCTCTGCATGGCTATTCGTGCATGTTTGCTCCAAACATCCCAGTATCTCTGCATGGGGCTATTCGTTCCTGGAAGGTATCGGCCGAGAAGGAACTCAAAAAGAAGCTTGAAAAGGCGATCAGGAGGCTTCAGCCTAAGAATTGTTTCTGATCCATTGCCACGTGTGCAAATCCCCCAGTGACACATGCTTTGGGTCGCCAAGGGTCAAAGCATTGGCGAACAAAGCTCGCGATGCCAGCCAGACACTCCATGCCCTTTCAGGCAACGAGGCAAGATACCTGGGCAGCGAAGCTGTGTGAAATTCATTGCATGTCTCTGGATTCTTTGTGAAATTCATTGCCAAACCTCTTGCAAGGGAATTGACCAGTGATTCTTGGGAGCACAATTCTTTTGATGTTTTAATGATGTGATACGTGTGCAATTGGGTATTATTCTTCAGCGTGTTGCTTTGGTTTACGTCAGGCGATGAGGTCTGAATGCATGGACATCTTCAAAGAGCTTTCTCATACGGCTTCGAAGCTACACCCTGAGAAATGCAGGGATAAGTTCAGTGCAATGCCATCTTACAGAACTTGAAGAGAAATTCGACAATCTGATGCAACAATCCAAAAAAGTTCCTTAGGTTGGAAAACAAATTTGCTTCTGGGTCCAGCCCCGAAGATGTGCTGGAATTGTATGACAAGAAGCGCTCTGCCATTGAGGACTGTCACTCATCTTCCCCAAAGTCTCCCAGCCAAAAGATCGAGCTAATACCCGAAGAAATTGAAGATTTGGGGGCTCAACAAAATTTACAGTGGGATTTTGCACTGCAAGCTGAATTGGTTTACTGCAGTGCATGTTTTTTGTCACTGCATTTCCTTTGGATCGGATGGGTCCTATACATATTGCACTTTGCAAAACAAACAGGTGCATCTATATATTCCTATACGTATTCCCCATATAAGAATCATATGTTTGTTGTTTCTTATCATGTGTGGCAACCCCAAAAGCATTTTGGAGATATGGATAGAGGAGACCCAAGCCATTTCAAAAGGAAATTTGCTGGAAACACATGTGGGTGAAACCGTTCTTGAACTTCATATCAGATGATCACAAAACATGTTTAGTATATGCAACCCATGTGATCAGTTCCATATGGCATACCCTATCCGCCCTATCCTAAATTCTTGAATCCCCTTCATGGTCCCAACTTTTCCATTTGCAGCCGTGGCATCCAGCTGATCCCGCAGAAACATGAAGATGCCATCGAATCTGCCAAGTCAGCCGCAGCCGCGCTGAAGCGACGTTGGAGCCTTGGATTTGCTCAGCTTGCCAGGTAAGTAAGCCCTTTGATTTGGGCACAGTGAGTTTGGCATCAGGCCAAAAGAAAAAGAAGGACCAATCCGAGAAGGATTCCACTGCTGGCAGTTGGACCGACGAAGACTGGATTGAATGGTGGGACAAAGAGGCCTGTGAACAAATTCAAGCGAACACCACTTTTCAAACATTAGAATCGATGTCTCTACTTGGCAGGGACGCAATGAGCAATGAGACGAACCAAATGACTGCCTGATGGCACTGGCTGCACACTAGCCAAATCTTTAACTGCTTTTGGACATGGGGGGCAAAATGCCATACATGCAGGAGCATGCAGGGAGCTTAGGATATACTGCTCTGAAACGCTTTGCAGTATTTTGCATTCTGTGTGATGCGTGTGGTTTTTGCGAGCCGGTGGAAAAAACACGATTCAGGGGCTTTGGCATAGCACCCTCATGGTGAACAGTTGCCAGGTTACTGTCAAATTCAATAGCCACCAACATAAACCATCCGATGTCCCTCTTAGTGCCGCCTGGTGGCCACGCAGGTGTCTTTGACGTGCATGGATGGCGAAGAGATCCTCCCGTGGCGTGCCAAAACTGGTGGAGCAGTTCTTCACCGCATTATCCCACGGGGAGGCATGGCTGGGCACCAAATTTATCACAGGTTTTTGGCTAACGCTGTATTCTGAAAACATGGACCGTCAATTTCCCAATAAAGACAAATGATTGGTTAAAGTATATTATCATTGAAAGTTTCCCTGAAACTGTTTTTCCAAAAGATATCATTTTGCTTCGGGATTTCCATTGGCTACCACCAAAAAACGCCATGCGAGAGGCTTCAATGAGGCGGCTGCGAGATCTTACAAGTGCATTGGTGGATTTGCCCCATTATCTGGTTCCGAACCATGGCAGCAATAGAAATTGTAACGGACTTTGTTGTCAGTGGGCCATGCCAGGTACTTCTTTCCAATTCCTATTTGTTAATAAATGGTTGTCTGAAAAATTGACCTATATACCCCCACATGGCTTTGTTGAAATCATGATAAGCCATTGCGTTTTGTTGTATATATTTCACAAACCCAAACAGGTATTTCGTATAAGGGGATTAAACACCACAAGAAATAGTCCAATTATATTTTTTTCCTACATATCCACCAAATATTTTCAGTGTATATGTGGTTCCCCATATGCATTTGGGAGGTGTGATTTTTTGGGCATGTTTACTCCCAGCTGATGTTTTTGGTATGTATTTCTCAAAAAAGATTCCTGCAAAGGTAAAAAGTTCATCCACTACGTTTGCAGTGGCTCTAAGGCCAGCTATTCTGGACTTGGCTGACAAAATCGAATCAGCTGGAGGGTGGGCATCCGAAAGGGTTTTCAGCAAATGGGTATACAAACAAGAGTGGCGACGGTGCTTGCCACCTATTTTCGAGTTTGTGGTTGGAAGAGAAACTTGTTTGAGAAATTCATTTTATTCTGAAGTTCCGAAAGCAGAAATTTCCAAATTAACAAATTTGGGTTCTTGAGCCAGTGCATGATTTGTTTTTTTCTGACGCTCTCAGGTTTGAACGGAGAAAAGGTTTTCCTGACTTATAGAAACATATTTGTATGGGGGGGTTGCCTTGGGAAGGTCAAATTTCTCAGCAGCGTGCATGAGGCAAATGCACCAGAGCACTCCAAGATGGACAAGGTCAAATTGGGAATGCTTCTTCCTCATGAAGTGGCATCCGCGTTCTATCACTTTAGATCTGGTGACCTTTTCTTTGGCCTCCTGACTGGCACACCTGATGTGACCTAG